CGGTGGCTTGAACCATTGTTCAACGTGGTATGGTCCTCGAAAGAATAACGTCCGTGAGACCAGAGGTCTCGTCTTAGCGCCTGGCCCGTCTCCCCGCTTTCTCCAAGCTAGACCTGGAGAACTAGGGACGATGCTGAAACGGTCTCTTCGCTGCTCTGTGCCACCGGACGCCGTGGAAATGCAAGGTCGACATGGCATGGCCAACTGGAGCTTCCACGTCGTTGTCGTCGCAGTGAAGGTTTGTGGGGTAGCGATGCAAGACGCTGGTTGGTCGATGGAAGATGTTGCCTCTGAATGTCGTCTCATCAACGGGCATGGCATTGCCTGGGAGAAAAACGCCCGGCTGTTTAGATGTTGCCCGCGGCGAGTCCTAACAAACCGCCATGCCATGGTCCTGTCCGGTCGCTCGTCATCCCCATCATGGCTAGCGAATAGGTTCATCATGGTGTAACATCGCCATTGCTCTACACCCAGTCAGCCAACGACCAGTACCAATGGGGTGGCGACGTACAAACGATCTTACCATTACATTGCCAGCGAAGTCTCTTGCAGCAATGCTTCATGAAGTAAGCCGATGGCATTCTATATTGATGCCACCAGCGTCCCCGAGGCTGACTGCATGCTGTGGGCGTGAAACGGGCAGTAAGTAAACTCACCGACCTCGAGAATGCGGGGTAGTTAGATCCCCTCCCATTGGTACGGTGTAGAGGCATTGCGTCCTCGCCGAGCGGATATCAAAGGCAAATATTATGTTTCCTCATTCTAGGCGTGTTCTCTGTTGTGCAACATTGCCGGTGAACGTCTGGGCAAAGCCCGAAGATCGTGTGTTGGCTAATGTTGTGCAACATTCCGTCAAAGCAATGGAATGAGGCCATCCGAGAACCTCGTTGAGAACTTCTGTCGGAAGTAAAGGGTGTGAGTAGTGTGTACGAAATCATCGTCTTCCTCAACCCAGTGCAGTATGATATGGCGAAGCTCGAGGTATTGCGTGGCGGCTAGGTTGTTAACTCCAGAGGGTCCAGATGGGAGCTCCCGTCTTACTGCCTCGTGGTGATACCAAGCGTTGCTCAGTCAAGCTTCTATATTGTGAACAGTGTGTCAGATGACCAGTTTCGCTTGATGACTGGCAAATCGGAAAAGCTTCCTGAAGATGCTGTGTTCCGAGGTCCCGACTGCTCAGACGGCCAGGATTTCGGTGCCACTTTCGAACGATATGAAAGAGAAAACGGGGTAAACACTTGTCATGCTGGGCTGAAAACCGTATCACGACATGTGTACACAAAAGCCGCACATATCTTGCTAGGGCAGATATTAATGTTGACGAATGGAATCCGTTGCCCTGGGCCATTGGTGGTGCTTGCCAAACCCGGCTGGCGTGTAGAATCCGACGTTGCAGGCTCAAAAGATCACTAGACCTCTCACATCTTACAAGTTCCCTCGTCTGCGGTGCGGAAATTAGCAGCTCTTGCACATTGCCGGCCTCATGATAATGCTTATATCTCGTGCGCAGCCCATCGGTCTTCGGTGCGGCTTCGGCCAGGCATCCGTTGCCTGCATGGCAAATTGTAAATACCATCTTCGGATCGTTGGAAAAGCTTGGAGCGGTCGCTCCGGAATGGCGTAGGTATCTCTTCATTACGGCGTGCACGGCAGGAAACTTTCCGTGCGGCAGACGCCCTCGCGTGTTCTTGCGGCACGGTGAAGATGCTTCTGGCTAGGTAGACCAGAGTTGATAAAGAGCCTCATCCTAGATCGACACGGCGGCGTCCGCACGGTAGCAGGTGGGTCGCGGTTCCAGCATGGCACCGGCAAATGGACGAAACTCTATCTTGTAGATCTGTAGACCGAGCCTCAAAGGTGAAGAAAGATTGGCCAACCAAACGCTTGATTGGAGCTTCCGCATCCTCGAACAAAGTCCAGGCGAATCTCACCGCTACTTGATCGAGCGTCTGTCCAAGATAAGCCTGAGAGTGCTAATCCCGAGCTCTAGTAGCTTGCGCATGAGATATATCGAGGATGTTCCATTGTCCAATGGAACGTCGGCCACCCTTTTGAGGGATATTAGTTAGCCAAAACGAAATCCAGAGGCATCCACAATCTACAGAGGTGTAAGCCACGGTAGCCGCCAGTGGCGAGTCTCTTGGTCCGACTGCGGCGGCGTGGTGGGTGATGGCAAGTGTGATGGCTGCCCTAACCCCAAAACCACTTGTAATCTTGGTTTAGGGTGATGTTTGTAGTACATGGGGCGCAGCTACGTGTGGCTCGATGCCACCGGGGTCAGCCACATAAGAGATAATTCGACTGAGAAGATTGGCGCTTTCAACTCGATCCCCAAGGAACGAATACCTGGACGGGCAGATAGGCAGATCACTGGTGCCTATGCGAGCATCTTGTTGACGAGACGCGGGAGTGGCCTGCATCTCAAAACCAAGGCAAAGCCGCTACGTGGAAGTGCAAGCGAAATATTTCGAGGAGGCCTGCCGGTTGGGGGTCGAACCCCGGGCGAGAGGTACGCGTCCCGTCTTCTCGATGAAGCTCGAACCGTCTTCAGATTACACGGCGATCTTGGCTGCAAGGGATTGATCAAATATCAAGGAAGTCATCGACAGCCTCGAGTGCCGAACTGCCGTTATGCCAGATGCAGTGGGCTAGTGGTTTATTTGGCTAGATTGCGATGGCGTTGTGCGGTGTATGCGCGGTGAATGTCTCGGTAGGCCTCTATGAGGTCTCGGTGAAGAAGCGGTCAGAAAGGAAAGCGGCGGGAGCAAGTGTCTACAGCACCACGCATAGTGGTAAAGATTGTGTTTTGTGTGCCAAATGCCCAAGCAATTTGATTCCAAGAGCATGCTGCATGTCCAGAACGCCCAGGGGAGGGGGTGAGACGACCGGGGTGCAGTTCACTCAGAGTTTCGCACGGCTTTGTCGATTGCCTCTCGTGTTCGGTCGATATGGCCATGCCATTTACAGATGCAATTTCCAAAGCCCAGGCGGGCAGGAGGCTCGAGAGAGACGCCCTGATGGGTTCCATTGGTGATCTAGAACTCTAGACACATCCTAGAGGGGCCGTTGAGCGAGGGGGGGCCCATGGGGATGCCTCTGGAGACTGCAAACCACCCATGCCGCGTCCATCTGGAGTGGACATGTAGCGACTCCATAGTCATCGGTGATCTCTGTTTGAAAAGCTCCGGTATCAAGACTGTACGGCAACCTCTCCGTCTCCGTCTCCATCTCCATCTCCATTGTCTACCGCAGTCCGACACTTTGAAGGTGAGGAAGCTGAGACTGCGCTCGTCCGGGGGAATACCGGTAGCTACTATCCGTCAGTGGCCGGTGGCCGGTCATACTTCGTCCATCCCATTTCGAGAACCTGAACAGCCCCTCTTGACCAGACGCCGCCGGAATAGTGCCTGGTGATGGACTTGTCGACAGTTTTCTCCCAAGTTGCGGGCTTCCTCGCGGCTCGCTAATAAGCCTCAGATAGAAGTGGATGCTACTGCTGAAACTGCGGGCTCTGGCGGACGCTCCTAGCGCACGGAAAAGACGCCTACTGCCCCTTCGCGCCCCTGTAGTCCTCCTTTGGTCTCCTTAGTCTACTTGGTCTCCGTGGTCTCCCCTGTAGAAAGGACGCCAGCACCCGCCTGAGGCGGCAACGGCACAAAGCTGGCAGCGTGGTTGGAGCAAGAGGCCGGCGTTGTGGGGGGCTGGTTAGGGGGGGCCTACGGGGCTATTGTTGACCACTTTAAGCCCTGCGTACCGCTAAGAGCCCCAGGCGCCTACTTCATGAGAGAAAGACTCGATCTTGCACGTTAATGCCCGATGACGGCTGAGGGCCGTGAAACGGGTCACTACGTCATTTAGCCCTTTCCAGGATGCGTAGCAGCGTAGGCACGCGCAACCCATGTACGAGTATCCGTAGACGCAGTGAAGAGATTTCGTGCGTAGAAAATGGTGTACGCCCAGTGAGGATATCGACGGCCTGCCTCTTTTGCCCATGTTTGTGTCTCCCTGCCGCAGTGCCCACTGCCCCCATTCCGTTCTCCTGCGGGGGCACGACAGATGAGGAGAGAGAGACGAGATGGAGATTGGAGAAGAGTCAAGACTCCAAGTTGAGAGCCACAGTACCCCCCTCCCCCACTGAGGATCTGAACCTCCGGATATGGCAGCCAGATGTTGACGTGAAAGGACTCAAGGGATACAGTCTGAGCTTCTTCGGTGGATATGACCCGTTTGGTGCCCACATTCTTTCATGTTTGATGCAAGGTTGATGGCTCTTTTGGAAGTTGGAGCTGTAACTCAGGAGTGATGGGTTGAGATGAAGCCGACCGCAGTCCTATGTATCGAGTATGGAGTATCGACCGAGCCGAGATAATAAGCAATGGTACGTTGAGATCGCACCATGGGCCCATGCTGGCTTTCCCATCACCATTGCCTTGCTCATGCTGCCTTGCTGTGGTGCTGTGCTGACTTGCGGTTGGCTGTTTCCGGAGCAAATCCTCCTTAACGCTCCGCACTCTTGAGTCTTGACAACTTTACGTGCGGCGTGTACCGAAGCCTGCGGGCATCAATTCCCGTCTCAGCAAACCACAGAATTCGGGAAGACTGTTATTGTCGAGAGGACGGGTTCCCTGGACTTGAGTCTCACGCATCAACAGCCCATACTCGGTCGACACGCTGTGTTTCCCGGGTTTCTTCCAAGGAACTTTGTAGTCAGATGACCATGGTGGTGACGGTAATGATGATGCTGCTGTCAAAGACTTCCGAGAGTACAGATCGTGTGCCCTCATTTCCCATAAACCTGCTTCCTAAGTACTGGGAGGTTTGTGCGTACCTATCCGTCCTTTGTACGCCATCCTCCTCTTGTCTCACCGGCACAGATGGAATGAGGTTCTGGAGCTGACACCGGAGATGGGGGCCAAAATTGCCAATCAGATCCTTGCTGCCGTCTTAACTGTGTATGTTGCGTTCTCGAACAAGAGGATGTCCTCCGTTCCCCAGTCTCATTAGTATAGAGACCTTTCTTCATCGGTGGCCCTTTTTGGCCCTGGCCGCTCAAGCGAGGGCCATTGAGAGGCCTTATCAGAGTAATGCCATGCCTGCATGTATGTAAAGGCCACACAACCATGGGTATCTTTTTTTTTTTTTTTTTTTTTTAGTCTGATGGATTCAGCCCTCGCGTGCGAAAGTTGGCAGCATCCCGGCTCGTTCTGGCAGACTTCGTGCAGATCGGTGGGGCTCGTCATCGGTCGAGAAACGCCCCCCGACCTCCATTGTCGTATCTGTGAGGTTGCGACGCATTCCGACTTGCGCGGCGAGGTACACCGGAGTGACTCGATTGCTTGACCAAGCACCGCACCCTCTTCAGAGACAGACCTGGAGCCAACGACGTGGTGACTGGTGAGAACAGAGGATGAAGCTATTGTCTCCGAGGCATATGCACCGTAACTCGGGCGGAAAATCAGGGTTGAACCTTCGCATGTTGCCTGCTAAAGGGCTCAAAGCGGCATCTCAAACCCGGAGGCTGCACTTGGAAGCCAGAATACCGGATTCACTTCGAGAATAGCATGTCGCTTCTGCTTCATCGATCCGTCCCGGTCACCTGGCATCATCCGGAGTCTCGTGGGGCACTTCTATTCGCGACCCACGCGGGTTGGTGCCTCCTTCAGCCGTTGCGTGGCACGGGAAGGGGGCGTATGGACACTAGACTGGACAAGTCTGGGTTCTGTGCCTGACGATGAACAGGGCGAACAGCGATATGTCTTGACATGTAGCCTTGAAATGGGACGGCGACGGCGAGGACGAAACGACACGTCTGTAATCGCGATCCCCCCCCCCCCCCCACGGCCCTCACAAAAACGCACCTCGCCGTGATTGTTGATAGTGAAAAGTCTGGCACCATTTGTATCAGCTGGTGATGAATTGCGTCATGACTTGTATAAGTCATTCGAGTCGCCTCGGACGCGGAACCAGGCCGGTGCAGTCGAAATTGATCCCGTGAGCCTTCTGACAGGATCTTTGGAATACCCCCGCAAACAACCGTGCCCTCCGAGTTAAGACGTGGGATTTCTGCAAAGCTATCAAGTCTGACGATTTTGGGTTTGGGTCATTCTAGCTTTGTTTGTCCCGGATCGTGCGGGGCGCCCAGGCAGTTGCATCAGAGCCCGGATTCTAGTGCAGGCTGATTTACAGCTAGATGATTGCTGCAAAATGTGCTGGGAACAAGTAGGAATGATTCCAGGCAGGTTTTCTGGGCGAAACACACCGCTCTGGCATGATTCCTTCTTCCCCGGAGGCTTTGAAGACAATCAAGGAACCATGTAGCTGTGTATGGTCGCATTCGACGCCTCCTCCTGTGACACGTCAAATGGGAGCCGGGCCCCGAGTTGAATGCTGTCGGGCGACAGCCTGATTGGCCAATGGAGATTCGGGTTGCACATGGTTTGGAGAACCCAGCAAGATTCTGAGGATAAAGGCGACTTGTTGGATAGCAGGCTGCTGTTTTCCGGGTTGGCCGTGACTCCTTCATGGCCCCTTTCTCTCTTTAGCAGAGAAGACATAACCACAAGATTCCATACTTCTCTGATCTGCTTGATCTGTCGAGTGCGGTCACAAGCTGTGCTGCGAGGGAGATCCGGCTGTTGAGCTGCAGAAAATAGAAAGTGACCTAGATTCGAACTCTTCTATTTGTTCCCCCGCCAAAGGGACACAGACAGTGTTCAAGATCCAAAGTCCATACAACCACGTACTATGTTGGCGTTGAGACATGTAGCGCTGCAGTTGTGATTGGTTAAGGCCATGGGGCCGTTCGCCAGGCATGCCCCATGTCTGTCTGTCTATGTGCTCCGTATCCGTACTTTGCTCCCATGGGCTGAGCATCGCCTGGCACGGAAGATCCGGAAGCTGACGCGCGCCGGGAGCGACTCGGAAGCCGAGCCCTGGTCTCGTCGTCTACTCCTGCGCTCCGCCGGCTTCCTCCACGCCTCGTCGCCGAGTGGAGATCAAGACACAAACTTTAATTGAGGTTCCGTCCAGTCTCGACTCGCTCGCGACGTGGGATGCTTGGCCAAAGATGATGTTTGCTGGCTGTTTGCCAGCCTCACCGCCCCTTGATTTTCGATCGATGCTCTCGTCTCTTCTATGTGACATAGAGCTGACTCAAGAGGTTGAAGAAGCCCCCGACAATGGCTTCGACTGGGCGCCTCTCCAAAGTAGAGTGTTGAGCGTGCATCGGTGGGATATGGCCAGGTCTTTGCTTGTATCCTGCGAGCACTCGTTCCTCGCAGTTCAGTAAGGCGCAGCGCACCTGTAGTGGAACATACGAAAACAGTGTCTCTGTCGTTCGAAAGGCACGGTCGCCACACCTAGAAATCCACACTGTGTTCGCGCTGTCTGGGGCCTATCCAAACCCTCACCTTGTCCCGTATCCGATTCACCGATCGCTCGGGGCGTCGGGCATATGTGGCGCTCACTGATGCTGAAGACCGTCATTCATCACCAGATGATCTTCCGTCTCCGGTCTCCAGCGTCGATCGTAGAGCGAGATCTGACAATGGGATGTTCCCAGGGCCGAGGTGAGATCTCCGCATATGTGTTCTTCTCCTCTTTTCGGGTTTCGGAGGTGCATGCGCTCGAAATCTAGATCAATGGTCTGACAATACCAACAACTCGCCTTTGCCTCGGGAGTGAGTGACTTGATTGCAAGAGTCAGGCTGGCGACATGGAGATGTCTGAAGTTACACTCCCTCCCTGAACCCCTGGAACCTTACATACGGGCGGTGTCTGGAAACACCAGGAGAAGTCTGTTGTCTGGGGAAGAAAACGCCACCTTGGACGCCGCCGCGTGGTAACAAAGAATTCGTGATACGCAGCAGAGTTCGACTATCGCTGCTCGTCTTTCCTGCAAATTGAAGCCGAGCTTTGGTTCATTCCATTTGAGGCCATCGAGCCGTCCCCAACGAAACAATGTGACGAATCAGGAGCTTTGCCAGGACCGGAGCATGAAGCTGAGAGGGACCGGGCCCACTAGGTGTCAGGCAAAAAAATCCCCGGTGCTCCAAAGCTGTAAGAAATCAACATTGGATGATATGATGATCCTTGTCAACCATCAGACCACCGCTCATAGCCGGCGTTTCCCTGGAATGCGCATCAAGCATGTGCAAAGACAGAGTTCAAGGCCAGATTGCGTTCTCTTGATGCAATGTTGCAGCTTCGCATCTCGATACAGTCAGATGGATTATGATCGGTTCGTTGTTATCAAACGTGGGTCACTAGTGTCAGTCTTGATGGCGTGTAGTGTCGGCGATCATGGGGATAACTCTGCCGCGGTTGCGAAGCTCAGGCGAGCACGCGAGTTATCCGCACTGCGGTAGGGTAACGGGAACAGTTCGTATCCCAAAGCCGTTGGCTACGTTTCTGCGTCGATCTTCGCCCAGAAGTTGGCCGGCCACTGCAGCTAGCTAGACTTCAGGGTCCTCTGCACATAAGGGTCGGTAGGGTCTCGTTGGATTAGGGGACCTATTGCGGAGTAGGCAGCTAGACTGCGTGCGGTGAAAAAGCGCCATCCGCCATCTCAAAAAAAAAAATGACAGAGACGCCATTGTAACATGGAATGTGTGTCCTCAGATCATCGCCTGATGCTCGGGATGAGGTTAGTCGACTCGGGTTGCGTCTCGGGTCCGCTCTCGGAACCAGGTTCAAGGGACCCTTATCAGAAGCCAAGGGCGCAGGATGAACCTCAGTCTCTTCGTAGTCAACATCAGATCAGTTGATGTGACAGCTGTGTGACCTGGGGCTAGCATTCAACATCTCCATTGTATTTAACGCAATCTCTTTCGTCATCCCGCAGGGTCTTGTTGGTTTCGCTACCGTAGTTGGCTGAGCAGGTCTCGTACATTGTGCAAGCTCTACGTCAGACCGAACGAGTTCCGTAGAGAGGGAATCGAAGCGAGGCAGGTCTGAAGATCGAGCGATGGTAGGAGGGATGCCGCACTCTGCTTTGAGCCGTCAACTACGGGCCGTCCAGGTATCCGGCCGGTCGATTGACAGACGGCCACCGAACTGCTGATCCCCGTGTACGGATACTGACATGGCAGCCGGCCTAGGTTGTAAGTGTGCCCCGCCATCCGGCTCCCGATAGGTGTGGCTTGCACAATGGCTTGCGTGCTTTGTTCGAGGATTGCTGCTTCAGTGACGGGCGGGCCACGATGAGATCCTTGTTGAGATGCCATGAGCAGGGGCAAATTTAGCATCTTTTGATGGGCGACTAGGTGAGGGTGGCAGGGGCCACCTTGACTGCGCAGCGAATCAGGGGTAAGCGATGTGCGTTTTGGGCATCTCGGATTGCGACTTCAAAGATAACGAGACGCGGTGAGACGTGCCCGGGAGGTGTCGTTAATCCAGAGGCGCAAGGCGTGCCTGGGTGATGGCACGCAAGACGAGCAAGCAAGCAAGCAAGCAACCGCGAATTTTTACCACGGTGTGCAGCGTAAAGGCGCTAACAAGACGCCGCTTGGCTGCGAGATGCAGCCCCTTGAGTCGCCGGCCACTCTTGGCTTTGTGCCGTGTGCGAGTTGTTGGTGTTGGGTGATATCGTTCGGGTCCCCTATCTCCAGATTTCTTGCCAAGATGATCCGGCATCTATTGACCGTCGAGGGGCCAAATTGGGTGAAGGTGAGCGTTGGGCGATGACATCTGTCAGAGTGAATGCGTGCGATTGCTAATCAACGTCCCATGCCATACAGTGGACACTTCGCTTGAGAAGATGATAAGAGAGAAAGTGAGGGGCAATCGGCCAAGGGCACCTCGCGCATGTTTCCCCAGAATGCAAGCTGTGAGTAATAGTTTGACACATGCGCTGATATCCATAAGAGACGAGATTGAGAGCGAGGTGGATTGTCAGTTTGCGTGATCCGACGAAGGCTGAAGCGCAGCCGGATGGAGCTCTTGGTGAAGCCATTCCCCACCAGAGAGATCCTGCCATGCGTGCCATGGCGCTTTCGAATGTCGATGGGCGTTCTGCACGAATTTGGAAGGGGCCAGTGAGCATTTGCATCGTTCGATACCCATGTCGTACACCCTGGGTCTGGGCGAAGAAGTCCCCGAAAGGCCGAAAGCTGATTGACGATGCCCTTCTGTCTTCAAACCGATTGTGACAGAGGTAGCTCTGTGAGTAGCTCAAGTAAGTGAAGGGGCTTGACTGGACCTACGGCGGTGGCGTACGTGGGCTTCTGCGCCTCAAGCGAGGCCATGCAGCTCAATGACTGGTCCTCAGCCCCTGCGGCTCCCACTCGTCACAATGGCCGGAGCCATGCCTTGCTGCATGCCGCTGGGTGCATGCTGTGAGTGCTCGCAGTCGCAGCCCCTACTCTGTACTCCGTACCGAATGTGAGCATAGAAGTGGATGCTGGATGTAGGTACTTTAGGTATGTGAGTGGGAATGGGGAACATGGACCAGTGGAGATCCGTACTCCGTCCGTTCAACTGGATGATCTGAGAAAAGGCTGCATTTGCGCACAAGCCATCGGCTGAGGGAGACGAGAGGCTGCCTGGCAATCCAAAGTCCAAAGGCGACGACAAGACCGAGTATTGATTTCTTGTTGTATTCGTAATGGGGTTCCTTGCTTGCTGGACAGAACAAAAGTCATGACAAAAGACACGGAGTGTTGCACAGCGCGGAGACTGGAGACTTTGATAGGTCCCCGCCCGAAGCGGTACAACGGCTAAATTGGATGCACCTCTGGCATCCGAAAATGCGGCAATATCGTGTGAAGGTTGTCGTTTTTACGGTACTGCTGACCGAGACTTCGGCGCCTGGGCCAAAGATTGATCCGGTGAAGACGGAGGTGGTGAGGGAGGATGCCCGTCCAGTGGCCCCGGTGCCGGTGTTCGGATCCAGAGGATGGCACATCAACCAGATGAGCAATGCTCGGGATTCGTAGTGGCGGGCGGGCTGGGCCGCAGACACCCAAGGGTCGGTTCAAGCTTCAAAGCCGCCGCGAAGTAAGACGACTCTTGGGATGACGACGGCAATATATTAGAGTGTGGCGGAACGAGCTTGCAGTGGTATGGCGGAACTCTCCAGCTGCAACTCTAAAAGGCCCAACGTTTGATGCATCATACCTACTACTGGATGGACGACTGGCGTTGAGTAGAAGAGTGAGGGTTTCTAGGGGTCGAATACCAACTTTGGTTGGGTGCGGAACCCGGTCTTGTTGGTCAGGTCGGAATGATGTAGTGAGGGTGAAGGCGTTTAAGAGTTCAATGGAGGAAAATTCTAATGGGTGAAGTTGCTTTGATACTACACATGATGGAATGTGGTGATAGGATGGCTGTGAGATGGGTGCGTGTAGTGTTAATTCGATTCTGCGATGATTTCAACTCATGTCGAAGACAGCTAGTCCTAGTGCGCCAACGCCTTGTTGCGTTTTTCTGCATGCTTGGTGCTTTGCTGGGCATTGTTTGAAGGCATTTCCTGTCCTGAACAGTCCCACCTAGACTGTATCGACGGTAGTATGTAGACTTTGGTGTAGCAGCAAGCAGCTGGTGCTATGGTATTGGCTGGCATGTAGAGGTGACACGGTGCCGACGGTAATGGATATGGATAAGCATAGGAGCAGTGAGCGGCATCTCCGCGCACCAGAGAGAGTGCAAAGGAGAGTCCGTGCCGGTGAGGTCCGTGAATGAGCGATGGCTTGTGGTTGTGGATAAAATGTGGATGTGGGTGGTGGAGTGCGGTCGGGGCGGGCGATGTGATGTTGCAGCGGGAATTGACTTCATTCTCACTTTTTTTTTTTTGGTGGGGGAAGAAACCTCAAGGCTCAAGTGTTTCCTGCCTTTCTTTGGTGAGTTTCTTTTTTTGGTGGGGGGTGGCCAGACTGAGTCCATCAGGTGGGGGGGGACCCCCTGCTCTTTCCTTCCGTAACTGCCCCTCCTTCCCTCCTTCCTCTTCTCTTTTTTACGATGACAGCCTTGGGTCCTCTTGGATCCTTCCCACGATACCGCCTGCTGGTTGGTCAGTCGTGTTGCCTTCCCTCCTTTTCGGTAAAAAAATGGTACCGGGCCACTCCATTTCCTTTAGTCCTTCCTGCTGAATCATCCCCCATCCCGTCGCGTCGTCGTCTCCGCGTCTAAGTATGTACATAGATACGTACTCCATACTCCATCCCACTTGCTCCTCCCCCGTCGTCTCCGTCCTTTCCCAAAACACGGGTGCGGTGGATGCGGGAGGTGCGGTGCTGCGGCGACTCGCGAGGGCAAGAGTTCCAGGCCAAAATCCCATCCCAACGGCCTGCGGCCTGCCCCGGTTTCCGGTCCCCACTTCTGAAGCGATGAATACGGATTCAGATGGATTACGGAGAAAGTGAATTAAAAAAAAAAAAAAAAAAAAAAAAAGAAGCAAAAAGCCCGCAATGCAGATACTTCGTCGACGTTGGAAACTAACATACGCCGCAGTTATCAAGGCGTCAGACACATCATCTAACAAAATAACCCTGGTGATCCAGCGTCTGCCCATCCAGTGAGAATTGTTGCCGACAGCTCGGGCCACTCTGAGAATACGCTCCGTGCGTGTTGTCTTGTTGCTGTCGCTTTCGCGCTTCGTCTGTTCTTTCTGGGGCAATACCTGAGCCGCCAAATGCCCATAGCGGTGCCTGCTCTTACCCCAATCGAAACGTACTTTGCAAGGAGCACGAATTATTGCCATTGGCGAGACATTTTGTGAGAAGCATTTGCCTCTCAGTGCTCCGCTCATCGCCGATGCACAAGGGCAGCCCAACAGCATCAGTGAAGAAAGAGTCGTGTCCAAGAGAGCGGTGACAGTAACACAAGCAAAATGCATTGCTATCGCCATCGCCAATGCAACCATCAGCAATGGCAGCGCATTATAGTGCCACAATGCATCTGCGCCATTTCTGTGACGACTCGGGCGACTCATTCACACGTAGCAGCATGCTGGTCTAGGAATCTCAACCCTCGCCCAGCCGTTTCTTGGCCGGAATGAGACATTTTGACGACAAAAAGTTCTTCACGCCGTTGCCGCCAGTATGGAGCGTCGGAGCCAAAGTCTCTAATCAGAACGAGATGTGTCAATTGGCTCTCGATGCAGGCAGCCGCTCCGCATACGGGACTATAGGTAGTCAACATCTCGTAGTTGCACTACTACCGTCAGCGTCGGCATCAACAATGTCTATGCCATCCATACCAGCCGCCGGTAGGGTAGCTCGTGCCAACGGCCACCATCGATAATAGCTGATGCCGGCATCGGTGTCGTTGCTATCGCCAGCCCTAGTCCAGCTGCAACCTGTGGCTGACAGAGCGACTGACTATTCGTACCGCTTCTGACACACAATTCCCTGGATTCATCAGTCATCAGCGACAGAGCGGGTCAGCGTCGTCTTAGCGCTTCCAAAGACACGGCGCAAACAACGCACAAACGTGCCGTCAAAACTTAGCCCGCACCCAGAGAAAAAGAGAGTGCAACAGGTATTGTCCGACACTGACTCTGACTCTTCTGCCTGTCTTGTCCCTGGCCTGCTTCTGCTTCCAAGTGCATTCCAGTAATGGTAGATCGGCCCCCAAAGCAATAGCATAGCCAAAGGAAACGAAGCTTTTCGCAGGAGTGTTTGATGTCTGTCATGGGTTCGGCCTTGTTGAGAATAGTTCCAGAGCAAACTTGCGGGGACAACCACTTTGGATGGAATGTGGGAAAAGGCTGGAATGTGGACCGAACTGGTATCGTTTTTCTCCTTTACCAGTCTTCTTTTGCTTGTCCCTTCCTTGTCCTTCACATCCATGTTCCCATCCCCCATCTTCGTCCAGTGTCTCGAGTGTTGGTTCCACCATTGGTTCTGCTTCGTGTCGCCGTTGCTTTCAGGCGAGGACCCGGGGGGCATGGCCTTATTTCGCTCCGTTATTGTCTGCGGACGGGCGCCGGCCGATCAGATCATCAGAACGGGGCCGCAGGGGGGGGGGGGCAGATTCTGGAGCCAATTCTTTTTGTCTTTGCTGCGTATCAACGGCGGGTCAAGTTTTCCCAGAATCCCCAGGTGGGTTGCCCCAATCATTGATAAAGTTCGAGCTGAGCAGGGCTTGGTATCGATATCGAACGCTTGCTCGAGTCGTGGCCACGTCCATCCTTCAACGACGGCAACACTCAGTGTCTTTTGAGAACCAGGCTGGCGGTGTAATTGGAGAGACAAAGCAGAGGGTGCAAAGAAGGCATGCTGACAGTGAGACGCGACCGAGACGCGCCTCGCCCGACACAAGTCTGATTGACACCCTCCGTACAAAAGACATCCAGTCAGGCAGCCTAGTGGCTTCGAGTAACATGATAACGTACGCCATAAGGATGGAAGATATCGGTAAAACGTCTCTGATAAGACGAGGTGGTCGAGATAAGGCCAAACGTTTGAAGGTGATGTAATGTGCGGCTTTGGCTATCCGCCGATATGGATCGTGGGCCGAATCGGATAGAAAGGGAGTGCTAGCGACCCGAGAAATCGTGCACCCGTCGTGGGCCACACGTCGTGGTGTGGCTGGATCGTGAGTGGGAGAGGGAGTGGGAGTGAAGTGTTGTTTCGACGAGGAGTACCTCTAAGGACAGCTCCTCTCCCCCACTTAAAAACTCACGATGCTTTGCGTCTTCGCCTTGGAGCTGCGAGGCAGGCACGCACCCAAAAGAGGCAAGGGAAGCAAGCTAACTGCCCAGTCAAGCGAGAAAGAGCGGGCGGACGACGCGACGACGATGGTAGGTGCACCTGCCGCCAATGACAATTTCAATCACCAATGACATCATTCTTTCCTTCGACCCAAACTTTTACGAACTTTTTTCACCGGATCTTTTTCGCCTGAGAGTTGGGTTCCCTATCCGTGTGTGTTCCAAACGAGCATCGTGAAATGACCGATAATGGAAGCTTCCTTGTACTGGGGGGGATAATACCTAGATCAGGTACTGGGGGGAATGGTTGGGGCTTGTTTCGTCTATTACGAGACTGCCCTGTCCCTTCTATGGCTTGTTCTGGGTGTCGCAAGCAGTGCGCGCGGGCAAGGACTTCAGTTCCGGTCCCGGGCAGACAGGAAGGAAGGGACAGGGCAAGGGCAGGTACATACTTGTAGAGGTAGGGCAGGGCCATTGCTTCCAAAACGCGAACCCATGCCTTCCTTGCCTGCCTCAGTGCCTGCCGTGCCTGCCATTGCTCGCCTGCGGCCTGCCTGCGCCGGTCTGTGCCTGCGTCTTCGCTTCTTTCTTTGCGGCATGGGCCTGGGCTGCTTGGCCTGGGCTGAGCCGACTGGGGTCGGTCGCTGCTGCCCTCTGCCCGTGTTGAAAGCGACGTGGGGCCGTGTCAAGTGTACAGTGCCGAAGGCAAGCGAGAGCCGGGAGAGGAGGGAAGGCACGCACCTTAGACTTTGTAGACAGAGACAAGAGGGCGCCATAATCTCCGTCCCCGGCACGATGACGATGGAAACGGCATTCTCTCATATCAGCCGCCCTGCCAACAGTGTCTTCAGTACGGGATGAGGTATGCCGCGGCATGGCGGCCACTGATGCAAACGAGATTCGAGACATGGCGAAGCTAATTGAGAACGATCAAGACCAAACGGCGGCTCGATGGTCTGGGGTAAAATCAGCTAGAGCAAGCAGAGAGGTGGGAGCATCACCAAGCACGAAATACGGTGCTACGGATACAGACTGTTGAGGAAAAGGCTAATACAACTTCAAGGAGGCAGGTATGGGGTAGTGCCGGGCCAACAACTCTCGAGACCAATGTCCGGCTGGAGCCGCAAACACTTTGATCGTCAACTGCCTCAGTCTTCCAACCACCTGCGAACTTGAGCCGACTGGATGCGTCGCGATGCTCTGCTAGGCGGCGGGATGCCAAGTTTAGACACTCTCTCCGTCCCAACTCTTTTCGATTTGTCGGTCGATATTGGAACGAGACAAGAACGGACCTGTTACTCTCGACTCCCGCACATTGCGCCAAGATGTATACTCTCGACAATGTATCAGTGTCGACTGCGGATACGGATAGGATAGGCCAATAGCTTCTATGGGCATGATTCCGGCATGAGCAGTTCGATACCAATCTGACAACTCTCAACGTTGCATTGCTCTCCAACTTCTTCTTTGGCACCTAATGACTGAGACGGGAATCGAAACCTCAGGCCATTCTGCAGCAGTGGTGTCGTACAGACAAGCTCCGACCCCAATCTTACTCTACCTGATAGAGTACGGTTACCACTGTCGAAGCTATCGAGTCTTGAGTCTCTTGAGAAAGAGCTGCTGCTGCGGGTTGTCATGCTCTTTGATGAGAGAATGATGGGACAATTATTTTACGCAGTACTCCGTATGGCAGTATGTATATCAGCACCAACGCTAAATTGACTAGAAACCCTGTCCCTGCTCCTGCCCCCGGTCTATTTCTTTCACCTTTGACCCAGTCGGTACGTTTTTCTCTTCATCCCTGCTAGCGCATCTTGAAGTTTTCCACTCCTTTTTTTTTGCGAGAGAGAAGGAAGCACCCACCCGGGATCCGTACTGTCCTATCAAAGATGGTCTGCTCTGTACTGCTCATTAGTCATCCCGGTACGTTCTTTTCTGTACTGTGTGTGGTCAGGTTGCTGTGGCTCAACTGCTCTGCCACTTGCTTCCCGTCACTGCTCAGTCTACCTTACCTTACTGTGTAGGTAGAGGCCTTGACCGAGAAGACGTGTACCACCACCACCACCACCACCACCACCACCACTGCAAACCAAGAACCAAGAAACCAAGGCGGCAGCATAATCAGACCGGACTGCTTACTCCTCCCGTCCCGCCCCTGCTACCGCTTACCTTACGAGCCGACGGAACTTTGGCTTCGTCACCTTTCCCCGCCTGTCCCTGCTCTCCTCCAGCGACTTCATGTTTCAACCTTTGTCCGCTCCCGGCACCTCGCACTGCGCGTCGTCGCGGCATGGATTGGCTCAGCATTCGCATATCAGTACGGAGTACGGATAGGCGTGCCAGGCATGGCTAGGCGTGGAGATTATGGACATGACAGGCAGGGTGGGGTGAGAGGGTGGATGGCCAGGGCCCGGTCGGTCATCGCTGATCTGATCTGACTCTACCGGAAACCTCAACGTCCTTCCTCCCGCACCCAGAAACCCTCGATACCGGAGGGGGGACGGCCTCAACGGTACCGGCCGGTAGCAGCCATCGATCATTGCGGGAAGGAGAAAAAGGAGGGGGAAAAGATGGAACAGACATTCAGAGAGCGATGATTGTCTTGTCTCTCATCCCACCTCCCATTTGACATCTACCGTGAGCAAAAGCTGCCGTGCTCATCTAGAAGAGATTCTGCCCAGTGGCCAAACACCCATGCATCCATCTCACACATGTTTCTTCATCCGTCCAAGGAAATACATACCTGCTGGTAGGGTAGGAAAGGCATCAGCCAGATGCAATGCGAACCGGGCAACTTGCAAGACCAGGCCTGGAGTCCACCACCCGCATCTTCAAGCCTCCCAAGCCAGCCCGCCGCCGTCTCCGCCTCCGCCTCCGCCTCGGGCTTCTCCAAGTCTTGGGCCAGTTGCCAATCTACTGTACTGGGCTAAACTGTGGCAGAAGGGGCTCCTGGAGAGGCGAAGGAGAGAGACTGAGAAGCAATACCTACGGGTAGGTAACAGAAAGGGAGGGAGGGCGTGACTGCAGCAAGGCTTGCCAGCGCCTACAGATAATTCAGAATAGGTATGGATACAGAACAGATGCTCGCTCTGGCTTTCGTTGGCGCTCTTCTGCCATTCTTG